AACCCCATCTCTCTCTCTCTCTCTCTCCCTCTCTCTCTCTCTCTCTCTCTCTCTCTATTTATATATATGTCCCTTAGTGGTCAGTTTTGTCAACCACTGCAATCAGAAAACGTTTTTAAACTTAAGAAATTTTATCGGCAGATAGTCATTAGTTAACGTAGTGATAAAAATAAAACAACGAAACTTTATCAAGCCAACGAGGAAGTTTATCCAACCAGTCTATGATTGCCTTAGGAGGAGATTAAGGATCACAGTTGGATATAAGAAGAAGTGTCGCGATCGTTTGTTCATGCGAACTTCCTTAAATGATGTGTTGGTGGATATAATTACAGTATTTTTAGATTTACAAAAGGAAAGACATCTTCCTCAAAATAGCCATGAAGCTTAAATTGTTTTGAAAAGAAATGCGTTTGCCGTCCTACTTTTCCACAACGACGGAGTTAATGAAGATGGACATAACACCATGCAGTGTGGTCTGAGCACATTCTTCTTGTACAGGAGTGTCACAACTTACTCTTAATTCGAAGTCCAACTGTCAAGCCTCTTTCATGTTCAAGCCTAGGGGGAGGTTTGATGGCTGAATGGTTAGTGTGTGTGCATTGTATCATAAGGTCTGTCTTTGAGTCAACTAATGTGGTTTCGATTCCCCGGTTGTACGTGACGAGGAGTAGGGTCGCCTGTCCAACCTTGTGGGTTTTCTTTGGGTCCTCCGGTTTATTCCCATTGTTAAAGACCCCCTACGCGCAAGCGAATTATTGAAATAAAATTGAACCATGTGTTAGTCCCAAAGTGACTAGTCTCTCTCTATTAGAGTTATGAACAGCAAATATATTTTATCTTTGTCCTCAAATCGTTCGTTACGTAATTAAAACCATGAACATGAAAGGAATTGATCCTTAAGGAGGAAACATTAATTTTTTTGTTCTTCAAGATCTTTATAAAAAAATAAGCTACTTTTAATTAAAATTAGGATTTGAAAACTAATCAGAACAATAGGCTAAATCAACTTAATAGTTTGTTCTTCAGAGTCCAGATATATTATAAATAACCACATGAACAGTAACACACTCAAAACTATTTATGGAATAACAATTACTGGTTTATTAACATGCAGCTATTCGAGGATGATACTCTCTACTTTGGTATTGTTCAATTACTGGAATGAAATGAAATGAAATGAAATGGGGTTTAAAGTCCTACTGTTTTGCTCCTAACTGGGCTAATGAAGACGGGCATACGCCATACAGTGTGCTATGAGGGAAATTTTGCCCGGACAGTGGCACTACGGCCTACTCTTATATCGAATTATATCGAATTCCAACTGTCAAGGGATCTTTTACGTGCACGCCAATGAGTACACGGAACCTCGGTTTTCCGTCCCATCCAAACGACTAGACAGCTGTCCTTGTCAGCCCCTCCGTCCTGCATCACTGACAAGGGAGAACCACGCCGGAAAATCGGGATGAACTTTCTCGGCCAATGCAGGGATCGAACACCTGACCTCCAGGCTAGTGAGCCAGCGCCTTACCCACTTAGCCACCGTGATCCCCCTGTTCTATTACTAAATGTCACTTAAACAACGTATGAACAATATTTAAACTTGAAAAAGAGAGAAAAGAGAGAGAGTTTAACTTCCACTTAACACAGACTAGGTCATTTCGGGACTAACATATGGTTCAATTTTATTTCAATAATTCGCTTGCACCTAGTGGTCTTTAGCAGTGGGAGGAAACCAGAGGATTCGGAGAAAACCCATGAGGTTGGACAGGCGACAATGCTCCTTGTCACATACAAGCGGGGAAACGAAGCCATACCAGTAAAGTAATACCAATAGTTCACATGGTATTACGTAACAGTATATTACTATCTCTAAAGACATTTTACAAAATCATGGAGAAAGTCGGTTTAAAAATAGACAGTATGTGTTCTACAGATGTGAAGGATAATTTTGTTACTATGAGTGTTTCTAACTGGTATATTAGAAACGAATGAAGATGAATTAAGGTGCAACACTCGACATTGTGTTGTCATTTGATGGAACTCTTGCCCGTCTCTTTTAAGTGATGGAGTGATTGTCCACATCATCGTTACCGCGTATCAGTACATGGCGCTAATTATAGCCGTGGTGTGAAACCGTTCCATCAACTGTGAAACCAAGGGAGATCCGTCTTAGTTTCCTTTCGATGTTGGCGTGAATAAATGTTTAAATTAGAATGGATGAACGATATACGTTAATGTTTAGTTAACATGACTTTTTATCGGAGACATAAAAACTTTGTTAACTAAATAATAGATATCCGTCGGCAAGAAGGTCGGCAAGAACACAGAGAAAATGGTTGCTATTAATAATTCACTTGTTAAACAATCAAAGGAATCCATAATTGGATAGTCTGTCTGCATGTGGTAACTCAACGGAACTCCTTGCTGATGGACTGATTAGCGCCTGTTCAGATTCTTGTGATTTCGCGACAATAGGAACACAGTGAATAATTTCTGCTGTACTGAATATGAATTGGATTAAAGAGAAACTACTTTTATAACGGCAGAAGTGATTCTTCAGAGAATTAATTTGACATCTGCTTGAGTTAAATGGAGTTAAAATACAGATGTGTCGTCATCGTTTGATGTTGGTGTACCATGATTTCAAATAATGTACAGGCAATTAAGCAATCGTACATTATTCCAGAGAATGTAGCTCGTCAACGGGTGTTTTCTAAGTATCAGAAATGAATACAGATTCTTGGATTGGATCATCAACACTTTATTTCAGCAGCAACAATTAAACAACTTATTATTTCCTATAAATCGGACCTCCAGCTAGTATATAGGTTCTCTAAGCTGGTCTCTCAAACTAATGAAAAATTTTACATACATTTGTCTTTTTATATAAATTAGTTACTATAAAATGTTGACATGAACATATAATTATTGAAGGATTCAGTGTTAAGTATTAGGGCATTTAATGCATATTAAAATATAGATTTAAAATTAAAAACAGAATTAAAAAATAATAAAATAGCATATGACCTAGACGTTCGTCATAATCTGTTGTCATTAGCCCAGGTACGGCAGAAATGTTGGATATTAAACATTATTTCAATTTAATTTCTGTAATTAATGCGTTATGCGTGAATTTGAGATTAATTCATATAATGTACATAAAAATTAAGCAGGGGTTGGGCGGTGGTGGTTGGCCAATTGGTTAACGTACGTGTTGTATCATAAGGTCTGTCATTGAGTCAAGTGGAGTGGTTTTGATTCCACACTTGAACGTAGCAAAGCAAAGAGTAGGGTTGCCTGCCCAACCTCGTGGGTTTTCTCTGGGCCCTCCAGTTTCCTGCCACTTCTAAATACCCTGACATGCAAGCAAGTGAATTATTGAAATAAAAAATTGAACCATATATTAGTCCTGAAATGACCTAGTTTGTATTGAGTGGATTTAAACCCTCCCCATCTCTCTCTCTCTCTCTCTCTCTCTCTCTCTCTCTCTTTCTCTCTCTGCTCTGTTTAAAGGCTTTAAGTTCCATGTTTTTAAGTTTTTAAAGTTTAAATATTTTTCTTAAGTTCTTTAAGTGGCATTTAGTTATTGAACAATACCAAAGACAAGAGTATCATCTTGAATGGCTGCTTGTTAATAAACCAGTAATTGTTACTCTCTCTCTCTCTCTCTCTCTCTCTCTCTCTCTCATATAAATTATAATATTCTAGCACCCATGTGCACTGTGGTTTGAGCAGATCGTGACAGAGTTATTAATGCTGTGTGTACCAGACACAAGCTATCTTGCATGTTGCTATTTTGTGTGTAGGTGTGAAGAAGTCATGAAAACACCTAATACTTAGTCTGATTAGATATCTAATAAAAAACTTATTGTACGCAATTTCAATGGCCAATAGTCTCTGAATGCATTCAATCGAAAACCATTGTGTGGTTAAGCAGCAAGTTGATTTAAGTGAAGTTTTTATTTTGTTATTTTGTTTTTTGCCGATTTCCTGTTTTACGAAAAAAAAAACTGTCTGATTTTTCCTGACAGAATATAATGAAAACTAATCAATATTATTGAACCGTATCAGGTGACTGGCACCAGTCAAACGACATAACCACAGTCTTCACACACAATCAAACGATATTGAAAAGTGACGCTGGTGTATAAGATCTTCCTCGTTACAGATCTCCCATTTACCCGTGTAAATCAGAGTTTAAAAAGCAGAAAATGAGTGGCTAATATAAACATTGTTTGGGTCATGACACCGTAATCTCTAATCAATAATGGTGAACAACGAGGATTCACGGTGAATAAAAAAGAAATAGCAGACGGTATTCAGAGTGGGAATTATTTGATGACCTTATTTGCTTTCACCTACTTCGCGAGAAACTTTTGTATCAATTAGTGAGAAATGAAGGATGGTGGATTAATTAACAAGTTATGGTTAATTAGGCGTTAAAAACAATTAATTTCTTAAGATAATCAATATATGTCTACCTGTTTTGATTTGATCATTTCTAGCAATGCTTTCGCATTCCAAAGTGGATGAATAAGTACATCACAAGTTTGTGGCACGCTGGAAAAACTCTTATGATTATTATGGAGTAGCAGTAAAAAATGATTTCTGTATCTGCTGCAGAAGACTGTTCTGTTCTTGCATAGCATTCTGGCGTCTGCAAGGCATTTGTTGTTTTCGTTTCCGCTACTTGGATTTACCTGTACTTGTGAAATGTCCGTCTGCTCTGATTTGATTTGTAGATTTTAAGCTGACGACTTTTTTGAAAATACTTTCGTGGGCAACCCGTTCATTTTGTCTTTACTACCTGGATTAACCTGCTCGTATATAATGTTTGCAGGATTAAGAAACTGAAATAAACTAGTCTGATTTGGTTTTTGTGCCCGAATTAAGACATTGATTCAATTCGAACTGGATTTAAGACCTGCAGTGTTCATTCGTTCATCCATCAACGATCTGTTGACATAATTTATAAACAAGAGATGATGCGATTTTTTCAGGTGGTCCAAAAGGGAGACCAAGACAAGGCCAAGCAATTACAGGAATTCGAAGCTGCTAATAAAGAATTACAGGGAGAAATCGAAGAACTTGATAAGGCTCTACAAAAAGCAGAAGGCCTTGTAAGTATCTTTTTGATTGGCATTTAGTAATTGAACATCTTAACACAGGGTACAATTTTATGGATACACAATTTTGCTTGATAAAGATGAGAGTTTCGTTGTTGAAACGTCGCTTTGTATTAAACTCAGTAATTGTGTCTCCCTAAAATTGTGTCTTGTAAGGACTTGTATATTTTTTTTTGTTGTCTTCGCCTTTCATCATCTTCTTATATTAGGGGGATTGGTTTAACATGTGCACATTAGATCATAAGGTCTGTAATTGTGTCAAGTGGCGTGGTTTGATTCCCTGCATGTGCGGTGACAAGGAGTAGGGTTGCCTGTCCAATAGCGTGGGTTTTCTGTATGTCTTCCAGTTCCCACCCACAGTTAAAGATCCCTAGTTACGATTTAACTATTTTATATGTTTGGAGAGAACTTATATAGGCCTTTGTGCCTGTTGTTCAATCCAATTCAGGTTATTGAATAAGATATTGTTTAAACTAACCCCATCTCTCTCTCCCTCTCTCTCAAATATTTGACAGGAGAGATAATTAGAATCAGGGCAAAGTTTTGGACTAAATTTTGTGCTTTAATCATTCTATTCCATTTCTAATTAGATTAGAGATTATGACCACAATTATTGCTGACAGTTTGAACTCAATTCCATTCCTTTCTATTCCTGGGGGGTTGGATGGCTTAATGGTTAGCACTTGTGTGCTGTATCATAAGGCCTGTCATTGAGTCAACTGACATGGTTTTCGAATCCCCGGTGGTATGGTTGTACGTGACAAGGAGTAGGGTTGCCTGCCCAACCTCGTGGGTTTTCTCCGGGTCCTCCGGTTTCCTCCCACTGCTAAAGACCCCTATGCGCCAGCGAATTATTGAAATAAAATTGAACCATATCTTAGTCCCGAAATGACCTAGTCTGTGTCAAGTAGACATTAAACCCCATCTCTACCTCCCTCTCTCTCTCTCTCTCTCTCTCTCTCTCTCCATTCCTATTTAAATTACTGTTGGTATGACTAGAACTATTGCATTTATGAAATGTTGAACTCCATTCCATTCCCATTTGTATTTAGAGACATAGACTGTTATATCTATTATTGTCACCTTCTATATATGTAAATATAATAACAAAGCCTGTCTGCTCAATAAATCTAATCTATCTGTTGTCGGTCTACCTATTGATATTATTCATAAAATACTATTGTCACAAGAAATAAGATAATACCACATCCCTAATTGAAAATATTCAATTCTTCTTCCATTATACTACCATGCACCCTGCAGTCTAGCCTGAAGGTCAAGTGTTCGATCCCTGCATTGGCCGAGAAAGTTCATCCTGATTTTCTGGCGTGATGCAGGACGGAGGGCCTGATAGGGACAGCTGTCTAGTCGTTCGGATGGGACAAAAAAAACAAGGTCCTGTGTACACATTGGCGTGCAAGTAAAAGATCCCTTGGCAGTCGGAATTCGATATAAGAGTAGGCCGTAGCACAGCTGCCCGGGCAAAATTTCCCTCATAGCACACTGTATGGCGTATGCCCATCTTCATTAGCCCAGCTTAGGAGCAGAACAGTAGGACGTTAAACCCCATTTCATTTCATTTCATTTTCAAGTAAATTACGTTATCTAGCGGACTAGATATTTGTTGTATCATCATACAGAGCAACGGTGACTCAGTGAGTTAGATGTTGGCTCGTTAACCTGTAGCTCCAGTGTTCGATCCGTGCTTTGGCCAAGATACATCACACGATTTTTTCGATGTGGTTCCTCCTTGTCAGGGGTGTAGGACCGAGGACATGGCAAGGGACAACGTATAGTCGTTCGGATGGGACAAAAAAACAAGGTCCCATAAGCGTGTACCATAATGCCTTTCAGCGCCATTTGTAACGACTGACTCAAAGTACGAGGCTAGACATATTTCACAAGTCATCTCAAACGGTGACGTCATATTCTTATCTGGAGAGCATACGCAATAAATACTATCAGTGTAGACTGGAATAACCTGGTCTTAGCGATTGCCATTCGATTGAGACTTTTGGCGTATTTTGCCGAACATAACTGATTTGAAATTAGAGTAAAAATTTCATATTACATTATTATATGGGTGTTTGATCCCTGCATTAGCCGAGAAGTTCATCCAGATTTTCCGGCGTGGTTCCCCCTTGTCATTGATGCAGGACGGAGGGCCTGACAAGGACAGCTGTCTAGTCGTTCGAATGGGACAAAAAACCAAGATCCCGTGTACTCATTGGCGTGCACGTAAAAGATGCCTTGGCAGTTGGAATTCGATATAAGAGTAGTCCGAGCAAAATTTCCCTCATAGCACACTGTATGTCGTATGCCCCTCTTCATTAGCCCAGTATAGTAGCAGAACAGTAGGAAGTTAAACCTCATTTCATTTCAGCTTTGAAAACAATAGGAATGATATAATATCTTAAAATCGCATTCCTCTGCTTTATTGTATTTATTGTAAGATGGTATGATTTTTATTAAAGCTTATCTTCAAAGCCAAACCTCCGCGGAACGTGTTTTATGACTTGTGTCTGAAGATGATAAAATTATTTTATTAGTTTTTTTATGACCGTTCCACAATAGAACCAATTTTTTCTTCCATATGAATCAATTTTCAATCTTATGCTTCTTTTTTAATGCTTGACATTTTCTGTCGGTATCCAAACAAAAGTTGACAGCAAATATTTTTGTTTGTGGTTTTCCAACCTCATGGGTTTTCTCTTTGTCCTCCAGTTTCCCGCCACTGCTAAAGACCCCTTCTTATGCCCAAGCGAATTATTGAAATAAAATTGAACCATATGTTAGTCCTGAAATGACCTAGTTTGTATGAGTCGATTTAAACTCTCTCTCACACTCTCTCTCTCTGTCGATTTAAACTCTCTCTCTCTCTCTCTCTCTCTCTCCTTGTCAGGTCCACTAAGCGAATTATTGAAATAAAATTTAACCATATGTTAGTCCCAAAATGACCTAGTTTGTGTCAAGTGGGTGTTAATCTCTCTCTCTCTCTCTCTCCCCCTACTCCCCCCCCCCCCCCATGGCAGATATGAGAGAATTGAATACTTTGTTGTATTGACACAAAGCCAATGATTAGCATATAGTTTTAATTGAGTTGTTACAGGTGCCCGTAGAATTAAAGCTTGCATGAGAGGGTACTTAATTTGAAGAGGGCCGAACTACAGGCTTTCAAATCTGCAAACCATTGATCGTGGCTATTTTCATTACTTGGGAAAAGGTTTTAAGTCTCTTCATGTCATTCTAGTGACGTTAAGGTTTTAATGTTGTCGTTTCTCAGGCCTATTTTCAACCACTTTTTACATGTTTTTGATCCGTTGAAAAGGTTAGAAAAGTGTTTAACAGACTCTCTCTTGTTGACTGGTGGCATGTAACAAGTCTTTTTACATAGAGAAATGTATTTTAAGATGAGAGTGAGAGAGAGAGAGAGAGAGAGAGAAAGAGAGAGAGAGAGAGCCTTCACAAATACATTAGAGTTTATTACAAAAATGAAATGAAATGGGGTTTAACGTCCTACTGTTCTGCTCCTACTGGGCTAATGAAGACAGGCATATGCCATAGAGTGTGCTATGAGGGAATATTGCCCAGGCAGCAGCCTTATATTGAATTCCAACTGCCGAGAGAGAGAGAGGTTAATATCCTAATGACACAAACTAGGATATTTTGGGATTAGTTGGTTTGGTGTGATTCTACAGAGAGATAGAAAAAAACTAGGTCATTATGGGACTATCATATGGTACATACTCTTATATCAAATTCCAACTACCAAGGGATCTCTTACGTACACACCAATGTGTACATAGGACCTTGTTTTTTTGTCCCATCCGAAATCATACTTGGTCATATTGGGATGAACACATGGTACAATTTTGATTACAATAATTGTCTTGTGTGTGTAGGAGTTTTTAACAATGGGAGGAAAGCAGACAACCCTACTCTTTTTGAGCTACAAGCATGTATCATCAAATCTTAACAGTTTGAACTTTCTATGTGTGGCTAAGTGGGTAAGACGCTGGCTCACTAGCCTGGAGGTTGGGTGTTCGATCCCTGCATTGGCCGAGAAAGTTCATCCAGATTTTCTGGCGTGGTTCTCCCTTGTCAGTGATGCAGGACGGAGGGGCTGACAAGGAAAGCTGTCTAGTCGTTCAGATGGGACGAAAAACCGAGGTCCCGTGTACACATTGGCGTGCACGTAAAAGATCCCTTGGCAGTTGGAATTCGATATAAGAGTAGGTCGTAGTGCCACTGTCCGGGGAAAATTTCCCTCATAGCACACTGTATGGCATATGCCCGTCTTCATTAGCCCAGGTTAGGAGCAGAACAGTAGGACGTTAAACCCCATTTCATTCATTTCATTTCACTATGTGTGGATTAAATCTTCCATGTTTAGCGATACGGCATGCAACCGTTTCAGCCTTGATAACCCAAGGGATTTAACAGAAATAGGCAGTTGCCACTCTGTATGAAAACCAATGTTTGACAGTTGAGATGATGTCACATTTTATACTCTATTGACAATCTAAATCTTGTTATGTCAGATTGGGATTGAAAGAGAGAGAGAAAAATGGGGTTTAACGTCCACTCGACACAAACTAGGTCATTTCAGGACTAACACATGGTTCAAATTTATTTCAATAATTCGCTTGCGCGTAGGGATCTTTAGCAGTGGAAGGAAACCGGAGGACCCGGAGAAAACCCACAAGGTTGGACAGGCGACCCTACTCCTTGTCACGTACAACCGGGGAATCGAAACCCCGCCAGTTGACTCAATGACAGACAGTATGATACAGCGCAGTGCGCACGTGCTAACCATTCGGCCATCCAACCCCCCAGATTGGGATTAAAGCCACACCATTTGACTCAATGACAGACCGTATGGATGTGTGGAATGGTAATAGTCACTAGGGATAATTTTGCCCAGACAATGTTTTTTCCACTTACTAGTCTTCAAATTCTGACAAGGGGTTGGGTGGCAAGGAGTAGGGTCACCTGTCCAAATTTTGTCTGTGTCTCAAGAATTCAAGCTAAGTAATTATCTGTCTGGATATTTGCCCTGACGCAATTTATCAAAGATTAGCCTTGTTTATAGAAAGCTGTCACTTAACTCCTTGCTCTCGTGTCGCAACACTTCTAGAAATCCATGGTGATTATACTGTTAGTGATTATATACACCATGGACTTATTGCCGATATTATACTTCCTGTTCGGTAAATCCCACATTAAGATTGAAGCTTTCGCTGTGGTGTTGTTTGACCTTTAAGATGTTCTCACATATTCCGTGTTAGTCTATAAAACTAATGAGATTGCTGCCATTTATTTATATATATATATATATATAGAGAGAGAGAAATGGGGTTTAACATCCACTTGAGATAGTGAACTTTATCCCTGCATTGGCCGAGAAAGTTGATCAGGATTTTCCAACATGGTTTTCCCTTGTCAGTGGTACAGGACAGAGGGTCTGACAAGGACAGCTGTCTAATCGTTTGGATAGGACAAAAAAACGAGGTCCCATGTACATATTGGTGTGCACATAAAAGATCCCTTGTCAGTTGGAATTTTGATATAAGAGTAGGCCATAGTGCCGCTGCCCATGCAAAATTTCCCTCATAGCCCACAATATGGCTTATGCCTGTCTTCATGAGCCCAGTCGGAGCAGAACAGTAGGACTTTGAACCCCATTTCATTTCAGGTCATGTCAGGACTAACATTTGTTGTTTGACATTAAGATGTTTTTCTATTAACATTGACATTAAGATGTTTTTCTATTAACATTATGAAATTGTGAAATGACATGAAATGGGCTTTAACTTTCTGTTTTTCTTCACTGAGAGGGCAAAATGAAGATGGATTATGAAATTGTTGACATTTGTTTAGGTTTGTCATTATTGACACAGGCTTGTAATTGATGATTTAAAGCAGTGGTTCCACAACCTTTTTTTGCCAACGGCACACCTTGGAACACATGAAAAAATAGCGGCACACCTGGTTAAATATATATGAAAATGATTTTGGGTGATTTTAAATGATCTTTATGAATTCTTAAACAGAGATTTGATATTAAATGAATGTGAAAGAAATAGAGCTAGATACACAAGATTAAATGATACCTGGGTTACAGTGTATGATTAGTAAAAAAAGCTGTCAGAACATTCTTAGGTCGTCATTCTACAAATGGGTAGGTTAAAGGGCCAATCCCGATAATATTTTGGATAATAAAACTGGTTAATTTTGTGTTAAAATCCCTTAAAATCCTCTACCTTAGGTCCGAGCAACTAACTCAAACAACTTAAATCTGTCAGTCTTAATCTGGAAGTGGGGACCAGTGCCCCCAAGCTGTATTTATGCAGTGTCTGGATAAAACCAGACTTTTATTTTATACAAATAATGTGTAGGTGAAATTTACCTTTCGTTATCAAGTACAGCGCATGGGTCATTCATTGTATAAACCTCTAAAGGAAGGGGAATCGATTATCAGGTCACCCAACGAAAGAATTGACCCAAAATCTTAAAAGGGTAACGTGTCTGGATAAGCAGTTTTGACATTCACGTCCAAACGACTCAATATTTTGAGCTGGAATTTTGAGACAGAGTAAATACACCATTCCTCTATATTTTGGCGCTTAAATTTCATACGTACCCCGACTTTTATTTTTGAGACTCTGTTCAATTCGGGATAGTCTCTTTAAGCGTACATGTAAAGATGTATGCAGGTGACAATTCTATGGAATACAATTACTGCTTATTACTGAGCTTGATAATAACTAGAGAATCCTAGTCAAAACGTGGTTCAGTAATAAACAGTAATTATATTCCATAGAATTGATAATAACTAGAGAATCCTAGTCAAAACGTCGCCCAGTAATTAGCAGTAATTATATTCCATAGAATTGATAACGACTAGAGAATCCTAGTGGAAATGTCACTCAGTAATAACCTGTAATTGTATTCCATAGAATTGTCACCTGTATAACCTATTCATTTACTAAATGCCATTGAAAGAGAGAGAGAGAGAGAGAGAGAGAAATGGTGTTTAACGTCCACTCGACACAAACTAGGTCATTTCAGGACTAATGTACGGTTTAACCGAATTTCAATAATTCAGTTTCGCATAGGGGTCTTTAGCAGTGGGGGGAAACCGGAAGACCCGGAGAAAACCCACAAGGTTGGACAGGTGACCCTACTCCTTGTCACGTACAACCGGGGATTCGAAACCACGCCAGTTGACTCAATGACAGGCCTTATGATACAGCATGCTCGTGCTAACCATTAGGCCATTGAAACAATGTAAAGATGTTGCAAGAAAATCTTGACATTTGGTTGATTGTGATGCATTGCCAGGTAGAAAATCTCTGGGTTTATTGTAGAGATGAGTAGATTTAATAGAAACATCAGGCCACAAATGTTTCCATGCCAATCAGTATTTACAATTAAAATACAGGTGTGACGTCATCCTTTGATGTTGGTGTATCATTATTTCAAATAATGTACAGGCAACGTGCTTACAGTACGTTATTTTTATACTTGATGTGATATTGGACTGGCGTGATTTTGTTGAGATGCACGCGGAATATAGTGCCTGGTCTCGAGCAAGACATTGCGTAATATATTGAAACAAGACTTGGACTAATGTCCTAGTGTGGTATCAATATATTACATAATGTCTCACTCTTGTCTATTAAGGGGGGGAGGGGTGGATGGCCTGTTGGTTAACACATGCACGCAGTATCATAATGTCTGTCATTGAGTCAACTGGTGTGGTATTGATTCCCCGATTGTACGTGACAAGAGTAGGGTCACCTGTCCAACCTCATGGGTTTTCTCCGGGTCCTCCGGTTTCATCCCACTGCTAAAGACCCCTACGCACAAGCGAATTATTGAAATAAAATTGAACCATATGTTAGTCCCCAAATGACCTAGTTTATGTCGAATAGATGTTAAAGCCCATTTCTCTCTCTTGTGTCTATTAAATCACATTACGTCTTTCATGTATGCTATATCACAATTTTTTATACGCCCACATGTCCTTAAAATCTAAATTCCTTAAATATTTAATTACTGTATAAGCCATCAAAGGCTTTATAAGAATAGACTCGTTTTTTCAGGGATGTTATATAATTCATAACATAGATAGAAAGATCGAACAGCATGCTTTTGACATTTTCTATTAGTCTGTATCCCGTGTGGAGTTGCGCTATATAAATGTTGACGATACTGACGTAATATTTGATTGTCATTGCTCCGTCAATAATGAACATTGATTATCAAACGGCGTTTAACTCGCTGTATTATAACGCTGGATAAATTGTTTATTAATACCTCTATTGATTATCAATCGACTATTTTCATTCTGGATGCATTTTGTCTACATAATGAGTCATCAGACTTGCTGTTAAAAAGAAAAAAAAATTGTCATCCCCTTTGATTATGAAAATAGTTTGATTGTTGATTATTTATACCTATATAGTTTTACGTGTCTGTCATGTGTCTCTTGTTAGTTTAAACAATATTTTATTCAATAAACTGAATTGGATTGAACAACAGGCAAAGGCCTATATAAGTTCTCTCTCTCTTGTTGAATCTCAGAATAGATTAAACCAATTCCTATCAATTTTTATAGAGTTTTATACTAGTTTAGGTTTTCCAAGTATGATTCCCCATTTTTAGTAGTACAGGAGAGGGGGTGGTATAAGAGAGACAATGCATAGTTGTTTGGATAGGACGAAAAACTACATGATTCAAATAGAGAGAGAGAGAGAGAAACGGGGTTTACCATCCATTTCGGGACTAAAATATGGTTCAATTTTATTTCAATATTTCGCGTGCGAACGTAGGGGTCTTTAGCAGTGGGAGGAAACTGGTGAACCCAGAAAAAACCCACGAGATTGGACATGTGACCCTACTCCTTGTAATGTCAACTGGGGAATCGAAACCACGCCAGTTGACTCAATGACAGACCTTATGATACAACGCGCACATGCTAACCATTCGGTCATCCACCCCCCCAAGATTGATTCAATGAAAGATGTTTAGATCTAAAGTGCTCAAGTAAGACCAATCGACCCCCGCAAGGCTATTTCGAGAACCTGGCCTCGAGTTCACTAAGCATTCTCAGACTTAAGTTAAGAATTTACTCAACTTTCAATCACTGTTTATGAGAAATATCTTTGATCCAGAAACACAAAACTTTGCACATAGTTTCTTATTGATGTATTTGATACATTAAAACAACAAAAGAATTATAAATTCTTAAGTCTGAGAATACATTGTGATTATAGATGCTTTGTAAAGCCAAAGCTTTATTCTATTATTAAGTGCAGGGGGACTGCACCACACATAATTTACACAAAAACAAATATACGGACAAGACATATTACGCAGAACTCACAAACAAACGCACAATTCAAATAAAGTGAATGGATCCGGGGGCTAGCTGTAAGCGTCTACTGCGCTGTACAGTCCCGGGCCTGTATAGTGACACAGACACAGAAGTAACAATCCCTTTGAAACACAGCTTCATTCTAAGTAGTAATCCCTTTAAAATAATTTGTCAGTAATTTTATTATTAATTTGAGTTTTATTCTTTTGTTATGTTTTTGCAGGATGATGCATTGAAGGAAAAAGAAAATGAATGTGAAACTTTGAAAACAGAGTTAGATGTTGAAAAAAGTAGAAATGAAGAATTGGTAAGGTTTTACATCGATATTAAATATTTTATAAACATTTAATGGTCCATGCTGTAAAAGGGAATGACTGTTTAATACATCTGTAAGCCTTAGAGTGCTGATCAATGTGAAAATTTAAAGTTCACCAAAATAGCTTAACATTTTTTTTTGAATAATGCAAGTAATTATGTCAACATGTCTTTTCCATAAGTATAACACGAACCCGAATGTCAATATTACCTGCAACAGGTAATTTCAATGTTAGTAACTTTCCGTCAATAAACAATCCGTGACATCATTTTAGTCCTTCTGCTCATATTCGAGTCTATATTTCTATAAGCAGAGGGACGAAAATGACGTCACGGATTGTTTGACGGAAAGTTAAGACTATCACAGAGAGAGGCAGAAATTACTAACGTGGAAATTTACCTGTTGCAGGTTCATCTTATACTTATGGAAAGGATGTGTTGACATAATTACTAGCATTATTTAAAAAAAACAAATTGAAACTTTTCCGATGACCTTTAAGTCTCGGAGTATTACTACCTCGCTATTGGCTAGAGATAACGGACTTAAAAAATTAGAAAATTCTTCAAAGAAATTTGTGATTGATTTAGATGAAGAGTGATAAAGGGCTAAACAACGGATTATTTTACTTTAGTAATTCGAAAACTTTCAAACATCGCACTTGTAGGATTTGATATGGTTATAGTAGATTTACAGATTATAGTTACAACCCTTCCTCTTCTTTTCTTCATCACTATGTTAATAATAAAGGTTCTTATAAAGCGCTAAACTCCAAACAGTATTGTTTGCTCAAAGCGCTAACAAAGTTTACAGGAAACAGTTATAAATATGAACACTGAACAAGTAAGTTTTGAGTTTTTGTTTGAAGATGCTTAAAGATGGAGCAGTCCGTAGATGTAGAGGCAGAAAGTTTCATGTATGTGCCACATTATAGGCAAATGATCTGCAGCCAAAAGTTTTCAGATTATACCTTAGAACAGTTAATAAACACTGGGAACCAGAACGGAGTGAACTAGATGGAGACTATTTATGAATTATATTACATAGATAGCCTGGTGCTGTGCCGTGTATACACTTGTTGTGACAAGTGTATAGCCTTGTGAGACAAGTGTATAGCCTTGTGAGACAACTTCAGCTATAGTTGCTTGATCAGAATCATCCGGTTCCGAGTTCACAAACTATCCTCATACTAAAGTTAAGAATTTAATCAACTTTCAATCACTGTTTATGAGAAATATCTTTGATACAGAAACATCAAACTTTGAACATAGTTCCTTATTGATGTATTTAATATATTAAAAGGTTTATAAAGGGCTATATTTTAGTTAAAATAAGATGAACAATTTTGAGTAAAATCTTAAACATGCATTATGCAAGAACTAAATCTGCCTATCGCAGGTCTTTCTTTAGGCCTTTCTTATCTAAATTTTTAATTTGGCATTAATTAACTTATCCAGACCATAACCAACACTAGATGTCAAGGCTAGCCTTCAATATCGACTGGATTAGAATCCTATATGCTGCAAACTCTCATTGATAATTAAATAAAAACATTGGATAATCTAGACTATGCTTTTTAACGTACTAACTTTAGTAATGATGAACGAGGCTAGGCGGAATTTTACAAAGCTGATATCTCAGTTCATAGTGGACCAATTTGACTGAAATTTTCAACAAATTACCTTTACATTATCTAGTTTTTAACTATTATTGCAAGAACTGTCAACTCGTTATCTAATTTCCTATAATGTATCTTTAAGTCTGAGAATGCTTTGTGAACTCAGGGCCTGGAAACCATTTTTCAGTTATAACATCCAAATCATTATAACAGATATAACTATGGATTTCATGAGATTTGTTCCTAACAGATGTACACTTACTCTTGCTGTATCGTCCGAGTGGTTGGATGGCCGAATGGTTAGCATGTGTGTGCTGTATCATAAGGTTGTCATTGAGTCAACTGGTGTGGTTTGGATTCCCCTGTTGTACGTGACAAGGAGTAGGGTGGCCTGTCCAACCTCGTGGGTTTAATCCGGGTCCTCCGATTTCCTCCCACTGCTAAAGACCCCTACGCGCAAGCGAACTATTGAAATAAAATTAAACCATATGTTAGTCCCGAAATGACCTAGTTTGTGTCGAGTGGACGTTAAACCCCATTTCTCTCTCTCTCTCATATAAAGATTACATTTATAGGGTCTAAGAATTAGCCATTTATACCATAGCTTTAAGTAATATTAATAGACATTCCTTAGTCTCAGAGCCTCCAAATCAATTCCAGGATTGAAAATTAGGAAGGTGATGTGTCAAGGGAGATAACTGGTGTATAATCAGATGGGATCAGACTACTAGTAATCCTCTCCCCCATTGACCACAATGTTAAATCCATGCCAATCCTTATACTATTAGTGGGGTTGGATGGTCGAATGGTCAGCGTGTGTGTGTAGTATCATTAGATCTGTCATTGAGTCAAGTAGTGGGATTTCGATTCCCCAGTTGTATGTGACAAGGAGTAGGGTCGAGTGGACATTAAACCCCATTTCTCTCTCTCTTTATTTTAACATGGGGTAAAAGATAAGAAATGGTTTTAAAGTTGCATTATGTAAGATAGAGAGAGAGGGGGAGAGAGAGAAGAGAGAGGGAGAGAGAGAGGGGAGAGAGAGGGGAGAGGAAGGAGAGAGAGAGAGGGGGGGAGAGAGAGGGGAGAGAGAGAGAGGAGAGAGAGAGAGGAGAGAGAAGAGAGAGAGAGAGAGAGGGAAGAGAGAGGAGAGAGAGGGAGGAGAGAGAGAGGGAGAGAGAGAGAGAGGGGAGAGAGGGGAGGAGAGAGGGAGAGAGAGAGGGAGAGAGAGAGAGGGGGAGAGAGAGGAGAGAGGGGGAGAGAGAAGAGAGAGAGTGATGTGGGTTTTAACATCCACTCAACACAAACTAAGTCATTTCGGGACTAACATAGGTTTCAATTTTATTTCAATAATTCGTTTGCATTAGCAGGTGTCTTTAGCAGTGGGAGGAAACCAGAGGACCCTGAGAAAACCCACAAGGTTGTCAGTACCACTGGGGAATCTTTTATCCTTTAACATTCTGATGACCGCAATATTTATAACCACAAAGAGTCCAACAGGTCCAAATCATTTGATAGAAAGGAAACAGCTGTAATTTCATGATTTTCTATTTCATTTCTTTCAGGAAACAGATCTTCGTGAATTGGCTGCTCAAAACTCGCAGTTAACGCTTGATATCACACATTTTGAAAAACGATTGGTTGAATTAGAAGGGGTAAGTACTGCTCTCCTAAGGCCTTGGCCCTTATTAATGAAAACTTAAACTATTTCAAAGATGCAGGCTTGTTCTTCTAGATGTCATTTTAAGAATTGATTGTTTAACCCTTTAACTGTCAAGACGTTCCATATGGAATGTTAATCAGGAGGCCATTTTGATGGTCATGACCTATAAGTAAAAATGACACAAAAACGTGTAAAATATATTTTATACCACTGAATAGAGGAATTCAAGACCTTTCCAAAAATATATATATATATATATATGATTTATTCTTAGATTTAAAGAGTTACAGGATATATTCTTGACTAAATGTTTTTCCTAGTCGAAACCACAAAACAATCCAACAGCTTTAAAACATTAGTACAAATATTAGCTTTTATTAGGCAATGAAGAAGCTGTAATTCTCAAAACGTTTTGATTTATGTTTTTGTGAAAAAGGCCCCTAATTTTACCTGGGATGTTAGCAGCACACCCAGCTATAGTCCTGCCACAACAGTTTCATATATATAACATTGCACAGACAAATTAGAGAGATAGTCCAATTCAGGGCAAAGTGCTGATTCCACCCCTGGAATATTACAAGGGCAAAGTCCTGATTATTACCAGGTCACCCAGTATTCTTTAAGTGGCTATGTCTCTAACTCAATATCATCCAAAGTCTTACATGTCGAAAACACAAATTATTTGTCAATTCAAATCAACATATGTTGTTATCTTACTGGGAAAAGGTAGGCTTCTGATATCCAATATTTAAGACAAAATAAACATTTTACCATTGGTACACGAATCGTGTACCATAGTGCGTTTCATAGTCATCTGTAACAAGTGACCAGAAAGAGCGAAGCTAGACATATTCCACAACTCATGTCATACGGCGACGCCATAACTTGTCTGGAGAGCATGTGCAATAGACTGGAATAACCAGACGCTAGAAATTTCTATTCCATTGCGACTCATGCCGTATTTCGCTGGACCTTACTGATTTGAAATTAGAGTCAGAATGGAAACAATTGAATGTAAATCAGTTCATATACAATCAGATTACATTATTATATGCGTTGCGACCCATTTCGGTCAATTTCTTGGTCCCAAATATTAGCGATTTAGTTCCTTTAAGTGTCATTTAGTAACTGGGTAGATAAATAAACTATGACACATACTTATTGAAAAACAGCTACTAATGTATTATAAGGCGACGACGTTTCGAAGAGTATTCTCGCAACATTATCAAGCTAATATTATTTTTGAAAAGTATTCTTTCAACGTTATCAGTTAGCTTGATACTCTTTGAAACCTCCCCTAAATAAATCAGTAGCTGTTTTTCCATAGTTTATTTATAGTATAGTTAGGGGCGCTGGAACCCGGTTACCAGGGTATACAAATGGTACCCTGCCCTTTTCTGGGGTATACATGTAATGTATACCCATGCCCTAATGATGAAAGTTTTCAACCTTTTTACTAGTCTATTCATTTTTAAATGATAGATATGTAATTGCTCTCTGGTTGGTCACGAGCCGTCTCACGCACTCACATTATCAGTTATCAGTGCATGCCTTGGCCAGATGAATTGCTCATGATACGAAAATTGTGAATAATCTGGCTTTTGTCTCTTTCATTATCATGTATTTTAAAGGGTTTTATGTTGGAATTTGGAATGCTAGAGGCGCTCTAAACAGCGTTCATGGAATTGACAAATTTCAAAATTTTCTTGACGCCGGGGGGAGACACCGCCCGACCGTTCCCGATTTAAATAGATTAATACACGATTGTCCTTTAATAATTTAATTTAAAAATGGATAGTCCTGACTTAGTCTCGAATAACAGGTGCCGTTGTTACGATAATATACAATCTATGCCATATCTTGTCAAAACTTCAAACAGTGATAACTATAAGTACTTTGAACAAAACATTTTTTTTTTCGAATACAGTTCAATATCTTGACTATCACACCTTTAAACAAAGCATTTTATTTTTTCAATACAGTTCAATAATTATTGGCAGACGGCAATCCGATATATTGATTTTTTCGTCTTCTATTCATGTCACATTCAGGTACAATATGTCGTCTGCTTCAAGCAACTCTATTTTAGAACTCAAGTCTCTTGTGTTTCACTCTTGTGACTAAAAAAAAAAAACTATTCGTGGAAAAGTGTCTGTTTTTATCCAAATCTTTTTTTGGAATTGAACTTGTATCTATATATGTCTACTTGTCATGTCTGTTTGATCGAGAAGTTTACGCGGAGATAAGCATCGTAATCTCCTAATAGCGAGATACTTGGCCAACTCTGGAACCATCTATCTCTCATTAGCTTCTGTAATGATTTTCTATCAGCACTGAAACAATTCTTTGCTTCGTTAGTTTTTACAGACAGGAAGATGTACACCCAGTGTATTTTATTTTTCTTATGTTATCGTTAATTATTGACGTTCTAGTCTTTGATTTATCTGTTTAGTCGTATTGCCGAGTAGCAAGAATACTTGTGTCAGTCGTGTGGTGTTTAATTTGATCTAAAAAGGGGAATATAAATTAACATGGATATGTTTTCGTTGTAAATGTTTTTAGAATTCAGAAATGAAATTAGGTTTAATGTCCGTTTTTTTTTCTGCACCAAATGAAATGAAATGGGGTTTATACTGTTCTGCTCCTATACTCCATTCAGTGGGCTATGAGGAAATTTTGCCTGGATAGTGGCGGTAAGGCCTAGACTTACATCAAATCCCAACTGCCAAGGGATCTTTTACGTGCATGCCATTGTATGCACGTGACCTTGGTTTTTTGTCCCATCTGAATGACTAGACAGCTGTCCTTGTCAGGCCCTCCGTCTTTCACCACTGACAAGGGAAATTTTCTGCACCAGCCCAATAAAGACCTGGGGGCTGTTTCACGAAATTTTAACTAAGATAAAATCCAAATTTTAGTAATTTGATTGGATAATATTAGTTTGATTTTAGTGCTTAGCCAATCAAAATTGAAGTATCGACTAAAATTGGGATTTTATCTTTAGTTAAGATTTCGAGAAGCAGGGCCCTGGATACACCATGTAGTGTGTGCTAGGAGGGAATTTTACCAGGCCTGTTTTCGACCTCTTAATGCTTTTTCGGACATAACAAGGGTTTGTTTGCCATCGAAACACACCTGTCACTCAATTTACACTCTATTAGTAAGTGCAGGAGGACCGCACTACACGTAAAACAAAAATCTACAAGATAAACCTGCGGACAAGACAGAAAATAGACGAAGAATTTAGTAAATACAGTAAAAATATATTAAAAAATTAGGATAAAGCCAAAAATTAGAATTAGGATTTTTAAAGAATTTAACTTTTAAAAAATAAATACAGTAGAATTATATTAAACATTTGGGATAAAGCTAAATATTGTCATATTCTTTTGGAAAGAAAAAAATATCTTGCTATGTAGATATCTGTAATAAACAATAATTGATCAGCTGGCAAAGTTTGGAAGTGAAAGCCCCGGGGACTACTATGTGGGAAAGTTTTAAATTCGCAAGACTGTTCCTTCTCACGTACAAGGTGAGAGGGAAATTGTATTTGACATCCACTTGACACAAACTATGTCACTTTGGGACTAACATATGGTTCAATTTTATCTCCATAATTCGCTCGCGCGTAGGGGTGTTTTGCAGTGGGAGAAAACCAAAGGACCCGGAGAAAACCCACGAGGTTGGACAGGCAACCCTACTCCTTGTCACGTACAAGCAGTGAATCGAAACCACGCCAGTTGACAAGCCAGGAATGCATAGCAAAGACTTGCATAGATCTAAAAGAACATTTTAAAAAGAGTAGGTGGGCAAATAGTCATATATCATTGTATAATGAAGATGAAGGAGAAGTTTGTCTTACAGTGGAATAACATCATGGTGTATCGTTAATTTAAATACGGGGTGAAAGAGAAGAAATGGTTTTAAAGATGCACATTAAAGATGCATAATGTAAGATTTAGATACAGAGCTGACCGTTAATGAAAAATTAGATGATTGTATTATTAACATGGTGTTTAATTTAATCGTTAAGCGTGACGTTTTTAAAACGTTAAACACCCTATTGTGTAATTAATTTGACGAAGTGACAAAGAACTTCGTACTATGTTCTAAGAATAGGTTGGGGAAAATACCTCCAAGGCGTTATATTACGCCCTATACAGTTGTCCAGGACGTTATATAACGACCTACGGATTTAATGGGTTAAATATGGGATGAAAAGGAAGAAGTGACTATCTCGCAACCCCATTCTAAACTTATGTTGGATTAGCCTCTCAAGCACAACTGCGTTAACTTCTGTAACGGGCCTCTTTTTGATCTGATTTTGATTTCGTTTTCTAACTTAAATGTTAAAGGGACTTTATTGAAGATTAGATAAAGAGTTGGCAGTTCTCACTATAAAAGTTAATAAGTAGATAATGTAAAGGGAATATGCTGAAAATTTCAGTCAAATTGCTCCACTCTGAACCAAGATATTAGCGATTGGATTTTAGGCCTAGTCTCGATCATCATTCCTAAAGTCGGTACGATAAAAGACATAGTCTCAATTATCCATTTTTGGATTTAATCATCCATGAGCTTTGAGCATCAGATCGGATTCAAATCCAGTAAATAATGCAGGCTAGCGATGACATCAAGAGTTGATTAAGGTCTTTTCATGTTAATAAATGTCAAATCAATATTTTATAAAACATTTCAGTCCTAAAGAAAGACCTGCAATAGGCAGATTTAGCTCTTGCATAATGTATGTTTAAATAATCAATCTGAGTACATTTTAGCGTGAACATTTGATATTTTCAAAAAAATGCAATTGACGCCAGGAGATTATGCACCATTAATATTTTTGTTTTCTTAATCAAATGCTTAGTATTCTGTCTGAGTACATTTTAGCATGAACATTTGATATTTCCCGGAAAAAAAAATCTCGACGACACAGAGACTTTAACGATTGAATACAACATACATAGATTCTGTAATTGGATTTAAGCAGAA